GGGCACGGGGTGGACCTGTCCTTGTCTGGGGCACGGGGTGGACCTGTCCTTGTCTGGGGCACGGGGTGGACCTGTCCTTGTCTGGGGCACGGGGTGGACCTGTCCTTGTCTGGGGCACGGGGTGGACCTGTCCCTTGTCTGGGACACGGGGTGGACCTGTCCTTGTCTGGGGCACGAGGTAGACCTGTCCTTGTCTGGGGCACGGGGTGGACCTGTCCCTTGTCTGGGACACGGGGTGGACCTGTCCTTGTCTGAGGCACGGGGTGGACCTGTCCTTGTCTGGGGCACGGGGTGGACCTGTCCTTGTCTGGGACACGGGGTGGACCTGTCCCTTGTCTGGGACACGGGGTGGACCTGTCCCTTGTCTGGGACACGGGGTGGACCTGTCCCTTGTCTGGGACACGGGGTGGACCTGTCCTTGTCTGGGTCACATGTCTCAAGTACGTGCACGGACACAAGGGGACACCAGACGGGGAGGGATGTTAACGACATACTAAGTATATCGGCACAAAATACAACACCAAACAATGGATATAAACTTGAGAAGTTCTGATTCAACCAAAACCTGGGTAAATACTGGTTTGGAAACCGGGTTGTTGATTTATGGAACAAAATTACCGGGTAATATAATAGACGTCATATCGTTGGATTTTGTCAAGCGCAGGTTAGATGTATACGAGTGAGTTTGGGAGGATTTAAGTAGCTGCTGCCTCGAGTGACTCAATAGGCCTTTTCCTAACTATATGTTGCGTATAAACGAGATTACCAGAGCCTTATTGGCACAGAAATATCGTATCATGTCCCCAACAGGAACAGTCAAACCGGAGGGAACAATGCTCTATGGCGCAACAAGACAACTCAGCTCCTGCCTAGAGGATAAAAGCCAAGAACTATGCATCCTATCTTACAGACAGTAGAGGACCCATACAAGCCACATTCGACTGGCCTCGGCGTCGTGGACGTACAGTGCCCTTCACCGTCAAGTAGTGGTCCCCCTGGCAGGACAGGCGTCCCTCCCCCCCGAGTGAGAGACTCCAGCAGTGTTGGGGGAGGGGGGGAGGGGAGGGGGGGGGCTGGCCACAACACTCCACTAACAACACGATTATGTGGCAGTCCACCACCAAGGTCTTGTAACCATCTTTCACACTACGTGTATAAAAACCACTACACATGAAACACTACTGCATACTACATGGAAATGTGCACTACATGAAAAGCTACTGTACAATACTGAAAAGCTATTACACACTACATGGCAAAAACTACTACATCATGAAAAAAAACATTTCATGAAAAACTACTACACAGCAAAACTACCCGCCCCCCCCCCTGCATAAGACACTATCACACATCTCAATAAAACGTTGTACAATCCTTGCCAAGATGGTCAAGACTAATATGACAAGCCAAGTGAACACCGGAAGAGGTGGTGGTGGAGGAACACCCCGCCGGAGCCACGTCAAGAACGCCGGGGCAAGTGATCACACCTGCTTGATGGGGTTCTGGGAGTTGTTCTACTCCAAGCCCGGCCCGAGGCCAGGGCTTGACTTGTGAGATGCTCTAATATATATTAACAAAACCAGGGCCAAGATTCACAAAAGCACTTACGAACCTGTACATCTTTTCTCAATCTTTGGCGGCTTTGTTTCCAATTTTTAAACAGTTAATGAGTTCCGAAGCACCAGCAGGCTGTTTATAAGAATAACAACAGTTGAATGGGAAGTTTTCATGCTTGTAAACTGTTTAATAAATGTAACCAAAGCCGTCAAAGATTGAGGAAAGATGTACACGTTCGTAAGTGCTTGCGTAAGTGCTTTCGTGAATCTGGCCCCAAAAGTTAAAAACCCTTACAGATATGGAGCACGTTGCAACATTCCGAACCGATACACCACACACACTTGGACACAATACAACTGGACAACAATCATGAGATCTTTTGATTAGTTAAGGAAAAGTGATTCCTTATTACTACCTTATTAAAAGTGACTCACACATTACTACCTCGATTTAAGAGTTACAATAAATGTTTAACGTGATGTACACTGCCCTCGGCGACTGCAACTAGCGGTGCTGTATTCACTGACCAACCTGTCCAAAATATGACGTAGTATATTTAATCTTAGCGAATCTAATCTAATCTAATCGAATCTATAATCTTATCTAATCGAATCTTAGCGGCTCACAAACCTCAAAGTTTTCTATTCGTGGATCCACCGGTTAGGTCCACCATTAGGTTAGTCCCAGGCAATCTTGTACACCATTTTTATGACGTAACAACATGAGAGGACGGGTTGAAGACACAAGCTTCCACTCCACGCTGGCCTGGGTAATTGCCTAGATCTAGATAAATAGACATCGGTGGCTCTGTCCTACCACTTGTGGACGGTCGAGGATTGAACGCCGACCAGCAAAAGCGAGAACTTCCAGCCCAATTGGTTGGACAGTGAGCACCTGTTGGCCCCGTTTACTACCTCCGCCGTTGTTACTGATGTCTGCGGCTCCTGTTTATCGAGCCGAACAACGGAGCGTATTAGTCACCGTTATTGAGTCTGAAAACTTTCCGGTGAAGGGCGGTGATGGCCACCACGACGCCTGCTATCACTGACACTGACACTGACACACACACACACACACACACACACACACACACACACACACACACACACACACACACACACACACACAGACAGACAAGCACGCACACGCATGTATTACAGGCTGAGTAGAAAGCGCTCGGGGGGCGTAGTCCTAAGGGCCCGGGTTCGATTTCTCACAGGCAGAAACAAATGGGCAGAGTTGATTTCACCCTGATGCTCCTTTTCACCTAGCAGTAAATAGGTACCTGGAAATTAAACAGCTGCTACAGGCTGCTTCCTGGGTGATGTCTGCGTTAAAAATAAACATATGTAGTAGATATGGTAGAGAATTTTGGGCTGGGAGTCAGTACATTAGACAGCCAATTGTTTGAAAGACAGGGTCCAAGAGCTAACAGCTCGGCCCTGCAGGCAGAAAAACAGTATTGCGGACATACGCGCGAGCACACATGCATGCAAACGTAGCCAAACACACACAATAACACACGCATACATACATTAGAACCTGTACGTTAGTTGAGTGACAGTTGAGAGGCGGGAGCCAGAGCCAGAGCTCAACCCCCGCAAGCACAATTAGGTAAGTACATTCTGAAACGTAAGGAAGTGGAGCTTAAATGCAATATTAAAGAAAATTAGTTAATGCTTTGGTATTGACCATGTCAAATTCCATGGGGTGCCGGGGAGAGAAAAAGCAAAAATATTTGAACACTAAATACAAGAGACCCCCCTTAATTTTCTTGAAAAGAGAAAATAGAACACCAAATCGTAGGACAGAAAACGTGAGCGACTGAGCTTACGTAGGGGAGACTCAACACTTTTGTGACCAGTCACCACACGCTACTGAATGCTGCCAGCGATTATCACAAACGATATTTGAGCTCGTGATGCTCTCAGTCATCTGACAATTACTATATAACTTCTTTTAGAAAATATAATTGTGACAACATCACTAATAATTCACACACAACGTGGGAAACAAGCCCAAGGCAGCATTTGACTTTATCAACAATACTGTAGCGTTAGCAACCATCGCAGAACTAAATGGCCATGTATGAACTAGCAGCAGCAGTAACATGTTGAACCTTATCTCAAAGTGTAGTGGGTTGAGGCAAGTATGGAAGGTGCAAGTGCGGAGAGGGAAAGCAAACTCGGCGTATGGAGGCGAGCCACGGCAGTACAGGAAGATCGGTGGACCCAAGGTGGTGGTGTGGTGCAGCCCGCGGTACCGCTCAGCTGGTCTATGGGCCGCTGAGCCTCAACAACATTACTGCTCAGGCTGTGTAGAGAGAATTTATAGCAGTAGAGGAAGCAAGAGCAGCGGTGAAAAGGGCCGACAGCGAAAACTTTTCCTCAAGCAGCTGTGCTAATCTTTGTTTACCAGTCACAAAACTGTCAAACTGTGTCAAACGGCGTCCCAGCTGCCAACACTACACCCTCCACCCGTAAACTATTTTGACTTGTGGTTATACAAACGAAACATCTAACCATTATATCAGATGTTTCGATTAATAATTCATACGGTAATGATCATTTACTGATGAAACGGTTACTAGGGTAGTTTGGAGCGGAGACGCGGATGACCCACTCTGACCAGCGCTCTGACTGGCAGACAGGCGCAACACACCTGGGAAATCAGTGCGAGTGCGTATGGCCTCAAACATGGCGGAGGACGGCCTCACCTGAGCACCTGAGGTAAGGAAAATTGGCGGACGAGAGCCGGGTGAGTGCGCCGGTTTCTCAGCGTGGGCGTGCTTGACTTCTGCATGACCTGTCGTGTGAGAGACCCGTTGTGAAGCAGCCACCACTAGTCTACACCACGCTCCTCCCCCACACATGCCCCCGCCACACACACAACCTACCCGTCACCTTCACCAGCAACATTCCTCCTGTCAACGTTCCTGTACGCGCAGTGGTAGAATGCGTCTCGCAGAAAGTACTCAACATGCCAATTGACAGTACTCAATCTCCCAATACATAAAATGCGAACTGAGATTGACACTTGCATACAGCAGAGCCAAAATAAAGATATTAGTGGTCTGTTATTGATTAGTAATCCTATGATGCTTGGAGCGTCACGTAACTCTTTACATTAAATTTTTTAGATTAGCTAATACTCATTTTCTATTTATATCAAAAACTAAATAAAATAAACAAAAGAGTAGGCAGCAGGTGAAGCGCTTCTGTCCCGTAGTTAAACGGTGTGTATGCGGATTAAGTCTACGGAGAGGCTTACCCGTGTTTCACTATCAAACCTTTTTGTCCTGTTGTTGGAGGAACCAGCACAGCAGACAATGAAGCATTGCTTAGTGATAACGTAATGAATAGTCTGAATCAAAATATCAGTACCAATATTATGTAATAAAACCATTGACAAAATCCGACATTTATGTGAACAGTGATGAGTACTTACAGGTTATGTGCGTGCCTGAGTAGCGTGGGCGGCGTTGAGTGAGCTGGCGTGGCTGAGTGGGCGTGCGGGCGGGCAGGTGAGGACCCCCGGGAGTTAGTGCCTGGCTCTTCCCCCCCACCACCACCACCGACACGACGCGCGGTGCCTCCTGTACCATGGGGGGCACAACCAAACAGGTTAGTCTCTCCTGAAATAACATTCGCACAACACATCATAACAAGAGAGAGTGGGAGCAGAGAAAGAATAACTCTGACAACCTTATTGTTGTCGGTTATTACGTATTACTTGACATTAATTTATGAAAAACTACCAATATTGTCATCAACATATTACTACCTCTTCAAACACCCGACAATGATAAATCAACCACATGCGGGCCGCTCCAAGCAACTGCCTGTTGAACCAAGTTATCACCCGTCAAAGCTGGCTCCAAACAGGGCTTCGGGAATGATAGGCCTCTCAGAGTCCACTCCAGGTATACAAGTTAACACAGTGTTTGGGGTTGGTTGTTCACACCTGACTTCTCTGCCATAGTGTAGACCTTCAGAGTGCACAAACTAAATCAATCAATTGCTGGATAAGTCACATGTTGGGTGTCCAGTGACAGCTCTGGTTGTCCTGATTTCTATTACTGCATAATGACTCTTGTATGATAATTGGATTCATTAGGGCGAAGAATACCAGAAACAAAGTACGTGAGGGTAGCCAAGAAGTCATCTTGTATGGCTGTAGCTGTGACAATTTGATCAAAGGTAGAGCGTAGGCGATCAGATATCTCAACCGTTATGCCGTCAGCGTGACAGGAGTGAGACCCTGGCATGAGCCCATCTCGCGACCGCCCATCAGACGGACGGACGCCTGCGGGAATGCTTCACTTCTACTGGCTAGTTCGTAGCCACCGCCGCTCCGGCGCAGGCAATCGCTCGAACACTCAGCGATTGTAAGTGCTCAAGCACTTATCCATCACTCTGACTAGGTCCTCCGCTACACGAGAAACGCACTACAAGTTTTTCTTCTCTTTAGCCAAGGAGGCAAAATCACCTCACAAAGGAGTCCAGTAATGCCTTACTTTACTTCACGTTACTTACTTTACTTAATTTGAATCACAGATTCATTGGCTCATTATTTCTGATAAAGCGAGAACTTTCAACTTTGCGAGAATACTAGAACTTTGAAGACTAGTGTTAAAGTTGTTTACAGACAAGAGAGACTTCGTACAGGCTCATACCACGTGCGGTGTGAAGTTTCATACAGGTTCATACGACACGCGGCGACTGCAGTAGAGTGTGAGTGGACAAGAGTGAAAGTTCGAATGAAAAGGTAACGAAGTACTCTATAGGGAGACGGGAAGGGGGAGGCCAAGGGGAAGGGGGGGGGAGGGGGGGGAGGGGGAGGGGAAGGGGGGGGGAGGGGAAGGGGGAGGGGAAGGGGGAGGGGAAGGGGGGGGGAAGGGGGGAGGGGGGGGGAAGGGGAAGGGGGGGGGAGGGGGAGGGGGGGGAGGGGGAGGGGAAGGGGGAGGGGAAGGGGGAGGGGAAGGGGGAGGGGAAGGGGGAGGGGAACGGGGAGGCCAAGGGGAAGGGGTCAATACTGTCTAGGAACATATTGTCCTATGATAGTATTCACTTGAAATATATTTGTATTTATTTTTAAGTTCCCTTTACATTAGGAAAGCCTTAATTTGATGAGGATTTTTTCATGAATTTTTAAATGAAAGTTTATTTTTGGTAAGGATTTTTTCCTCAATTTCTTTTCATTTATTAAATTTAGAAAAGTACTGAAAATATAATTTCTTGCATGATTGAAAACCCAAATTCTTTGACCTGGTTGGCAGTGATCTCTGCCTTGCAGAGGTCACACCAGAGGTCAAGTAGCCTTGGCCCTAACAAAGGTCAAGTAGCCTTGACCTCTGATAGGGGTCTGGGGTCAGATTCACGAAGCAGTTACGCAAGCACTTACGAACGTATACATCTTTCCTCAATCTTTCACGGCTTTGGTTACATTTATTAAACAGTTTACAAGCACGAAAACTTCCCAATCAACTGTTTTTATTGTTATAAACAGCCTCCTGGTGCTTCGCAGTTCATTAACTGTTTAATCATTGTAAACAAAGCTGCTAAACATTGAGAAAAGATGTACAGGTTCGTAAGTGCTTGCGTAACTGCTTCGTGAATCTGGCCCCTGGCCTTCGAGTATCTTCCATGTATACATTATGTGATACCTCTCTCATCTCCTTTCTACAGAGTATATTTCGAGAGTTTTGAGAAGATCCCAATAATTTAGGTTCTCAGTGGAGTTTAGTGCCGTGGATGTACAGGTCAACCACCACCTTGGTCTCTGTCTCCTGTCACAACTGAAGAAACATTGACTTGAGGCACCCACACACCTCACTGTCAAACCGGTCACTTGTGAGTGTCGTTTAAGGCTGTAGCTTTTCCTTCACTTGCAAGGCCAGTTATATAATTACTTCCGTTGCCCCTTAACTGTTTTGATGCCTGTATGGTGGTAAATACCTACACGATGTTATCGTATTTGTGCAAGTATAGGGTTTTGTCCTTGGTGTTAATACCTGTGGTCCTGGTGGGAGCGTCTGGACGGGGGAGCGTCTGGACGGGGCCGCGTCTGGACGGGGGCCGCGTCTGGACGGGGGCCGCGTCTGGACGGGGGCCGCGTCTGGACGGGGGCCGCGTCTGGACGGGGGCCGCGTCTGGACGGGGGCCGCGTCTGGACGGGGGCCGCGTCTGGACGGGGGCCGCGTCTGGACGGGGGCCGCGTCTGGACGGGGGCCGCGTCTGGACGGGGGCCGCGTCTGGACGGGGGCCGCGTCCGGACGGGGGCCGCGTCCGGACGGGGGCCGCGTCCGGACGGGGGCCGCGTCCGGACGGGGGCCGCGTCCGGACGGGGCCGCGTCCGGACGGGGCCGCGTCCGGACGGGGCCGCGTCTGGACGGGGCCGCGTCGTATACTGCGTGTATTTGATACAGTTGGTGGAAGACCTTAGACATTTCAACCAAGTCTTTTTGTCTCTATCTTGCTAAAATCAACCCCCCCCCCTTTCTGTAGAATTGCGGCCGTTTCCCGATAGCTTTACTACAATTATATTTCATTTGCCATGTTCATCTGAATGGAAATATTGGATATAACATTTATCTCATTTAGTGCATTAAAACGTTCAACTTTTAGAACGTCGTTCACCTGTATTTCGAGCGTTCCTGCAACTCTCTGAACGACTAAAAATACACGTTCTCTAACCATTATCTACACGCATGATGTCGCAAAGTTACCCGCTCAGGCGGCGTTTCTCTTGGCATGCGGTTCAGTATGAGTGTGAGTGGGGCAGTGAGAGGTTTTCATACTGCCCCACTCACGCTAAATATACAACCTGTCCTCTTGAAAAGAACGTCGCTTTTGGCCGTTTGCCCGTATGGCCGAATATGGACGTAATTTGAAAATGATAAAAAAAATGAAAATAAATTTGGGATTTTTTTTTCAACAACAGTAAGTTAAGGGTTCTCTGATAGGTTAGGTGGGCAGGAAATTCTCAAAGTTTCAAAACGTTATGAAAAACGTTAATTGAAAGTTCCTCTTCTAAGCTGTCCGAGGAGGGCCGGACGACTCAAACAGAAAACTGAACAGTACGTCACTTTTGTGAGTCGATTTAATTTCAAATTACGTCCAAATTTGGCCATAGTGCGCATACCAGCCAAAAGTGACATTTTTAAGAGGACGGGTTGGAATATAAGCTTCTCACTCACATTCAGACTGACGTATTCCTGGGAGACTTTTCAACAGCGGCAGAATGCCGTTGTCTGCCCCAAACATTGTAAACACAATACAAACTCTCTACTTGAACGGCACACAACCAAAGTATTCTTTAACACCTACATTTTACATCTTTTACCTTGCAACAGTCACCTTGTGGGGCGTGGTGGGCGTGGCGGTACTCACGTGGTGGGCGTGGCGGTACTCACGTGGTGGGCGTGGCGGTACTCACGTGGTGGGCGTGGCGGTACTCACGTGGTGGGCGTGGCGGTACTCACGTGGTGGGCGAGGCGGTACTCACCTAGCGAGGCGTCGCGGGCGTGGTGGTGTGAATCAGACGAAGCGTCTCTGCTTCGGGAACGTATATGGCCACGCCCACGGGCGTTCTCAGGACGGGAGGTAGGCGTGGAGATGTCGTGAGGGGCGTGGGTGCCGTGGGCGTTGTCCATGGCCATGGGCGGCGCCCACGCAAGGCGCCCCGTCACGTCATGGGCGGTGAACCGCCCATCCTCGCAGCCCCACAACCCTCAACCTGCGGAGAGAACAGTCTTTACTCTAGTGAACCCGGACGTTTCTAACTGTAATACAAAAGACCAGTTAACTGCCTGAAGATCCACCCTCCTGACCAGTTAACTGGTTAAAGACCCATATCTTGAACATCCTCCTCATGGTACCTGTGTGGTTTTCAAGACTACAAATATACGATAAAGGTGTTTTATAGAGGGGGTGCATATTTTCCTCAGGTCTTAGACCTTACTCGACTACTGCGACAATGGCCACGCTCGACTACCACCCTACACACTTACACGTTAAGTCAAAGTGCAGCGACGAACATGAGCACTTGCCTCAAGCAAGGACAATGCATATTCAAGTAGCCACAATCAGCAGCTCATCGTGGTTCAGTCCATAGTGATGTGCCTGGGGGTGGAGGGGGTGGAAGGAATGGTGCCCAACTACTTGTGTACGGTCGGGGATTGAACGCCGACCTGCATGAAGCGAAACCGTCGCTCTACCGTGCAACCCAAGTGATTGGGTAAGAGTTTTTATTATTATTATTATTATTATTATTATTATTATTATTATTATTATTATTATTATTTTCTACCACAAACGTGGCCACACATTTACAATGCTAACCAGGATATATACATTTTCTTCTGTCCTCCATGGACAGGGTTAGAGAAGTGTTAAACATATAGTTCAAGGGTTTATTGAACACTCAACCACAGAAGGTGATTCGGTGCTTTTAAAATGCTAAGCTAACCTACATACGTAAATACATAGATACACAGATTTACGTATGCCCTACATAAAGTGTTCGATGTGTCTTACATAGTGTCATTAATGTGCATTTACAAAGGTGAAAGGTAATTCTGATCAGCTTCCATATGTACTTTATACACATACACACACACACACACACACACACACATACATATATACATACATGTATACATACATATATACACACACATGCATTCACATACATTTGTCTCTTACTCTGACAGGGTGAGATAGCTGATAGAGAAACTAGTGTGCAATTAAGCACTTAATCACTGAAGGTGATGAAGGTGCTTTTACAAGCTCAGGTTATATAGTTACATCACATAAATACATTATATAATTGATACATTACATGGTTAATCTTGGGTACAAGTCCAATATATCAAGTGTTCCAGTACTCATATAGTAATTACACAGTTCAGCATACCTTAGCCCAGGAGGGCGAAAGTCAGTCAGTATGGGACATTCTACAATATAATGTTCAAGAGAATGCATGTTTTCTCTTTCACAAAGTTGACACATTGTGTACTCGAAATTTGGGTTTTGAGAAAGCTGCCAGATACGTCTATAACCCAGGCGTATTCTGGCCACTATAACATCACATTGCCGGGTTCTTGTTCTATTAGTCCCATATGTGAATGTCTCCTCACGATATCTATCATAATATTTAATGCTACAACTTTCAGGTCTTTGTGAATTTGTTAGGTCTGTGAGATCTTCATTAGATATTTGTTTAAGTATTCTCTTTGTCACTGCTAATGAAACACCCATATCAATTTCTACCACGGCTTTTCTGCAGGCTGTCTATGCAAGCATATCAACAGTGTCATGCCTTGAGATGCCAGCATGTGATGGTATCCATAGGAATTTAATTTCAAATCTGTTTTCTTTAGCAGCTAAAACATTCATTCGAATATCACTGACTATTTTCTGAGTGTCACTACTATGTGCGTTCAATGCCAGGAGTGCACTCTGCGAGTCACAGTATATAAGTCCATTGCCTTGGTGGTCCAAGACGGCAGGTTCGATCCCATCACGTTCTTGTAATTCCAGCTAATTTCTCCATCAGTTGGCGAGACTGTGGAGATCATACGGCCCAGCATACACGTATGTACTTAAGCTCTTGTTAGCCATCAGTCTCTCACTATGGAGTCAGTCGGTCAAGCTGAGGCCATAAGTCCGGTGGGTTAGGGGTCGATAGTTGGGGGGTAACTGGGCGGTGAAGGGCTGTAGCTGGCTGCCCCGCCGTCACCAGCGCCCCGCCGCCGCCACTCTCATACCTGCTTGATGGGGTTCTGGGAGAGTTCTTCTACTCCCCAAGCCCGGCCCGAGGCCAGGCTTGACTTGTGAGAGTTTGGTCCACCAGGCTGTTGCTTAGAGCGGCCCGCAGGCCCACATATCCACCACAGTGCGGTTGGTCCGGCACTCCTTGGAGGAAACAATCTCCGTGAAACCAACCAGGAAGGTTGGTTTCACTCTAGCATCGTGACACACGGGGCAACCGTGTAGTGTGGACAAGTTGTATACTCTGTCTGCTCACGACTGCCGTCAGACTGCCGTCGTACTGTGGGCCTGCGGGCCGCTCCAGGCAACAGTCTGTTGGAACAAGCTCTCACAGGTCAAGCCTGGCCTCGGGCCGGGCTTCACCTAGCAGTAAATAGGTATCTGGGAGTTTGATAATACGGGCTGCATTCTATGGATGTAATCACCTAGTTGTACTCACCTAGTTGTGTTTGCGTTGGTTGAGCTTCGGCTCTTTGGTCCCGCCTCTCAACTGGCAATCAATCAACTGTTACTAACTACTACTACTACTACTACTAACTAATTTTTTTCACGCGCGCGCGCGCACACACGTCACCTACGAAACTATGTACAGACACACCTTGAACACTGTTTATGTAGGACAGACGTAATTCTGTGAATTTATGTTCGTAAGTTAGATTAGAATTTTATAAGCACTACAATCACCTTCTGTGATTGATTGTTCAATAAATCACCTAACTATATGTTTAACAGATCCCTAACCCGGTCACTGGAGGACAGAAGAATTGTATTTGTGCTGGTTAGTCACATATGGGTGGCCACGTTAGTCACATATGGGTGGCCACGTCAGTCACATATGGGTGGCCACGTTAGTCACATATGGGTGGCCACGTTAGTCACATATGGGTGGCCACGTTAGTCACATATGGGTGGCCACGTTAGTCACATATGGGTGGCCACGTTAGTCACATATGGGTGGCCACGTCAGTCACATATGGGTGGCCACGTCAGTCACATATGGGTGGCCACGTTAGTCACATATGGGTGGCCACGTTAGTCACATATGGGTGGCCACGTTAGTCACATATGGGTGGCCACGTTAGTCACATATGGGTGGCCACGTTAGTCACATATGGGTGGCCACGTCAGTAGTAAAACAAAATAAACACACAAACTACGGCCCACCTCTTACAACACACACACAAACTATGGCCCACCTCTTACAACACACACACAAACTACGGCCCACCTCTTACAACACACACAAACTACGGCCCACCTCTTACAACACACACACAAACTACGGCCCACCTCTTACAACACACACACAAACTAGCACCAACAACACACACTAACCAACTCTAAGATCACAACACCCAATCTCCCATTTAAACAAATAAAACAAAGTACACACAATAAATCATAGAGAAGTCCTACAACAGCTTGTCACTGTGAAACCCTTCACAATATCTAGCCAAGAAACCTGTCAGCGGTAATGTGGAGCAGCCGAGCTTCCGCACACCCCAGGGGGCCAGGTGACTGTGGACGGTTACACAGTCACGCCGGCGCCAGGCGACTGTGTGGACTGTTACACAGTCACGCCGGCGCCAGGCGACTGTGTGGACTGTTACACAGTCACGCCGGCGCCAGGCGACTGTGTGGACTGTTACACAGTCACGCCGGCGCCATGCGACTGTGTGAACAGTTACACAGCCACGCCGGCGCCATGCGACTGTGTGGACAGTTACACAGTCACGCTAGGAAGTCTATCAACGGTACACACACTCCCGGGCACCACGAGCCGCCAATCACAAGACCTACAGTATCGCGTGACATACCAATCACCTGGGAGATGAACAGTATATATACGAAGCCAGAAAATGCCACAAACACAACACAACCTGGAGGTTGGTGGTCTGGTCGACCAGACTGCTAGACGCGACTGTCAATCTCCATTTGCTCTCTTTCAACTTTTGGGTAGTTCCCCAGTTACCAGTGATGTATTATATAGTGAGTGGCAAGCATAGTTCTTCTGCTCCTTCTGTTAATATCCATAATGATATTCTAAGTCTTTGTAACGTCCAGTTCTGGCACATGCGTCCTTACCTCACGTCTGGTAATCTCAAATTCCTCCAGTGGTGCCTGGTTTAATGGTTTAACCACCCCTCTCTTAGTTCAGAAACTTCTCCTTGCTCTATTGTGAAGACCTCATTGAATCCCTTGTTGAATTCCTCTCTCACACACCACCTTGTCATTCTCAGTAAACCTGTTCGCCCATATTCTCAGTGTCATTACCTGTTCCTTCACTGTTGTTTGCCTCCTGATGGTGTGGTGGTGAAGCAATTTATTGTGTGTACTCACCTAGTTGTGCTCGCGAGGGCTGAGCTCTGGCTCTTTGGTCTCGCCTCTCAACTGCCAATCAACTGGTTAATGTGTGTGCGTATGCGTGAGTGTGCATGTGCGGGTGTGTGCATGTGCGGGTGTGTGCATGTGCGGGTGTGGGTGAGGGTGTGTGGGGGCGCGTGGAGCAAGGTGGCAGTGCAGCAGTCCTCAGTGGTCTGGATCAATGATTCTATTCCTGATGCCAGGTACCCAACTACACCAACCACCACCACCACAACCACCACCCACCACAACCACCACCCACCACAACCACCACCCACCACCACCACCACAACCACCACCCACCACCAGCCATCACCACAAACGTCACCCTAAACCTAAGTCTGCAACACAGCCTGACAATAAACACCCCACCACGTATAGAGAGGAAGGAGGGGGGTGAAGAAGGGGGGGGTGTGAGGAAAGAGGGGGGGGTGCGAGGAAAGAGGGGGGGGGTGTGAGGAAAGAGGGGGGGGGTGTGAGGAAAGAGGGGGGTGTGAGGAAAGAGGGGGGGTGTGAGGAAAGAGGGGGGGTGGGGTGTGAGGAAAGAGGGGGGTGGGGTGTGAGGAAAGAGGGGGGGGGGCGAGGAAGGAGGGGCCGAGGGAGGCGCGGTGAGGGGAGGGAGGCGCGGTGAGGGGGGGGAGGGAGGAAGAGGGGAAGCATTGGGTTACCAAAATATTGACCAATGTTGTCAGTGTTACCTGCCATTGTTTACTAGCAGGATCAAGCACTCGTCCCCCCGGCCGCCCCCGTGGGGTGCCAGTTTTAGCTCGGCTCGGTGCCCGGGGCACTCTGACGGGGGAGGGGAGAGTGCCAGGAACTCAAAGCATGCACTACACCCCAGCACGCACCCCATCACTCACGGGGGAGTGGAGTGAAGCATGTTCATCCCACATCAATGACGTGCGCCGAGGGACACCAGGAACTTCTTGAAGTGGTGGTGGTAACATTCGTGGTGTGGCGTGTTCATGTGTGTTCAAACTCCACTAACGAGCCAATCACTCGCGTCACTAACGAAACACTACCTTCGCTAACTCACCACTCGCACCCGTAACCTGCCTAACCACTTCTTTCACTCGCTAACCACGTAACTTACCAACCAACCAACCAACCAATCCCTAACCTCACAAGCTAACAACTAGCCTGGCCAGCCAACCACTAGCTTCACTACCAAGGTTATCTTGAGATGATTTCGGGGCTTAGCGTCCCCGCGGCCCAGTCCTCCTTTTTGTTATCCCCCTCCCCCCCAGGAAGCAGCGCGTAGCAGCTGTCAAACTCCCAGGTATCTATTTACCGCTAGGTGAACAGATTCATCAGAGTGAAAGGAACTCTGTCCATTTGTTTCCGCCTCCACCGGGGATCGAACCCGGAACCTCAGGACTACGAATCCGAAGCGCTGTCCACTCAGCTGTCAGGCCCCCTTCCCCCACACCATCATAAAAGTGAGATGATGCCTTAGAAACAGGGGAAGGGAATTCATTTGTCCAGTTTCTTGTGCGTGGACTGAGCGAGTTCTTGTTCCATTAAGACAAAAGTGAGGACAAAAGGTATTATCAACGCAATATTTCAGCAATATGAACACTGTACCTGCAACAGCACCTGGTTGCAACACAATACCTCCTCACCCACCCGACCGGGGAGCCGGTCGGCCGAGCGGACAGCACGCTGGACTTGTGATCCTGTGGTCCTGTCACGGGCTGCTTCCTGGGGTGGAGGCCTGGTCGAGGACGGGGCCGCGGGGACACTAAAAAGCCCCGAAATCATCTCAAGATAACCTCAAGATAACCCTTCCGTGTAGCCTTCACTGAACTCCAAAACTAATCAAGTCTTAAGACATTACTAATCAAACTGATGTAAATCAGGTCTTTCAACGGGCCGCAGAAAATAACACGTTTAATAAGAATAACTTTCAGCTTCTGTACTATGGTAAAAACGGAAACCACATATAAAAAGCAGTCAACTCACACAATAAAACGAAAAAGTTAATAAAATTATTAGTAACAACCACGTCGGAAGACTTTACTTGTAAAGAACACAATAAAGTAGCTGTCACAACTGCAGGAAAAATGACAGGCAGGATAAAAAAAAAAAGAACCTTTCAAACAAGAGATGCCAGACCAATTATGGTACCTTTTTAAGGAACAAGTACTCTCTAGTATGGAATATTGTTGCACAGTAACAGCCCCATTCACAGTTGAAGAAGTTGCTCATCTGGAGAACGGTGCAGCTCATGTTTACTGCCCGAAGCCCTTCAATAAACAGCTAAATTATTGGGAAAGTTTAAAATGACTAAATCTATATTGTCTAGAGCGCAGGCGGGGTGGGGAGGGGGGGAGGGAGAGAGAAAGGGGGTAGGGAGGGAGGGAGGGGGGGGAGAGAGAGAGACTGACTTTTAATTTGGAAAATATTAAAGGACCTGGTTCCAAATCTGCACACGGACACAGCTCCTCATGAGACCAGTAGGCATGGCAGGATGTGCAGAATACCACCATTGAAATGCAGAGATGCAATACGTCCGCTGAGACACTATCAACAAAGGACCAAGACGTAGTTTTGTAGTGCGCGTAGTTTTTCCATTACAAAACTATTAATTCCTTATACAAGGCCTATATAGTCATACTGTTTTAGAACTTGTACAAATTATGTCACATCTGTCATCCAAGTATGAGATCCGTGTCACAAAAGTTATATGTCCTATATACATCTCATCCAGTCCTTGTAGCATCACACACCTTAACAGGTATAAGAGCCTTACACAATGTGTACATGCTATGTGGAGGACAGAAAAAAAATGTGTACTTTCTTCTGTCCTCCGTGGACAGAGTTAGAGGTCTGTTTACCAAAACAGTGTAGGGATTGAGCCGTCATCCACCTGAGGCTAGTTGAGTTAGGGTGATGGTGTCGGCTAGCCAGGGCCTCGACTTAACTACTAGTTACTACCCAACCTAAATTAAGATGAGCAGCTGGGGTGAGGCCAGTGGCCGCCTGCGGCAACTATCTAATCTGAGGCTAAACTTAGCGTCCGTCGGCAACACTACCTACTGCTCAACGCCTACCTTAGAGACCCTTAGACGTATGGAAAAACAAGGTTTGTTGTCTCATAGGCCAGTGTAAGCAGTCTGACCTTTCTTCACCGCATAAGCCCTTATCCTCCACTACACAATGGACACAATATATCCCAGGAGCGGCGCCGGTTCCACGGTGAATATACGTCGTCATCGTTGAGCTAACGTCGAATTGAGGTCGATAACGATAATTCGGGTGTTGAGCCGGCGCGCCACACATGGATATTGTGCTCACTGAGTACACCATTTCGCACACACACGCTCACTTGTCCCACTGGATAGTCTAGCCTGGGATTGCTAAGCAGCAGCTCTGAGAGATGCAGCCATGTCCAGGACATAATCACTAACATATCGTCCTCAACAGCACTATACTATTGGTGGGAGGCGTCTGTGCCAACAATAGGACGCGACGTATTTCTATTTTTATGGCAAATAAGAGACGCCCCATTTTCCATTCGTTCCATCCAAAGCAGCTCCAAGTACCATTGTTTTTCAAGGATGGGTTGAACGAATCCAGGATAAAACAAACAACCCATCATGATGACGTAAACTGGTTGAGAGAGAGAGAACCCCGAGGTGTGGTGGTGGACTGGGCCCCCTAGAGAGGCGGGCCCGATGGGGTACGGGCTGTGTGGGGCACATGCTCTCCCTCACCTGCTTGATGGGGTTCTGGGAGTTGTTCTACTCCCCAAGCCCGGCCCGAGGCCAGGCTTGACTTGTGAGACCTTGGTCCTTTACACTACACTACACTCAGAAATCACAATAGCGTGATGCATCAAATGAACAAATCAACAAGGGCCATGAAGAGGGTTCGAACCTACGTCCGAGAGGATCCCAGACGCTGCCTTAATCGACTGAGCTACGACATGGTTAAAAAGAATTGCAACCGGGAAAATCCTCCTGATTTACCGCGGGTCCTGCAGCCTCTCCGAGACACAAACCAGGATTTTACCCAATTCCCCCATGCACCCGAGCTCTGCCAATAGGCTGTCCTCTTCGCCCTTACTTCATTACACATTGGTCATATGCAGGCGATGAGTCACAATAACGTGGCTAAAGTATGTTGACCAGACCACACACTAGAAGGTGAAGGGACAACGACGTTTCGGTCCGTCCTGGACCATTTTCAAGTCGATTGTGACAATCGACTTGAAAATGGTCCAGGACGGACCGAAACGTCGTCGTCCCTTCACCTTCTAGTGTGAAGTCTGGTCAACATTGTTCATATCATTGGTCCTTTCTCATCCATCACCTTACTGGTTCACATGCCACTAACTCCATCCTCCTTACACACCACCTGCCTCTTTCCCCGTCATTTTAACATTTCCCATTGTATTTCCCTTTTAAAAATAGTTGAGTTCGTTCTTTTAATAAAAGATTTAATTTCAAAATGAACTTCACAATGTCTATACACCAGAACTGACCAAGTTTGAGGCCTGGGTGTACCCCCCCCTCTCCTCCCCTACACAGCTGTTTCCTATATTAACATATAGGAAATGTTTCCTATATTAACATATGACAACAATTAACATATCACTCAAGCCTCTCAATATCAGAGGCAACGTTTTCAGTATAATTGGTATTTGGTGTGTGAGGGTACCACCTCTGGTGCCAATGTGGGGACCCATAGCCTCGGAGAAGAAAATAAAAAGTATTCAGAGGAGACCTTGTGGTTTCTCACTGAACACTAATATTATCTTCTCCTACCACCCCCATTCTTTTGTATGTACACATATATATTTGCTTTATTTGAACTTTGTTATTTGGTATTTTGTATCCTTACTTGTATAGTCTCCGGGCTGACTCAGCAGCGAGCGGGCTGGTGTTTACAAAGGTCTGTCGTTCACTGAAGAGTCCAACTCCACAGACCCACACCAGCCGGCGACCCTTTGCGTCTCCAGTCCTTGTCACAACCGCTCGTAATACCTGCAACAAAAGACACATCAATTACTTTAGTGTACCAAAAATGGTCCCCGTTTTCTTTTTCATTGTTTATATTCGTTCCCCGCGGTTTACACTTCATGTAAACCGCGCGACTCACGAGGCGGCCTGATCAAAACATGGTTAATATGCGTGTAGCTGTAAACCAGCGTCAGCTGAGTCTTTGGGAAGACCGACAAAGAGGTCTACCGTCACCAGTGTGGTACAAAGACTGAACACCCACCAATGTGGTACAAAGACTGAACACCACCAATGTGGTACAAAGACTGAACACCACCAATGTGGTACAAAGACTGAACACCACCGATGTGGTACAAAGACTGAACACCCACCAATGTGGTACAAAGACTGAACACCCACCAATGTGGTACAAAGACTGAACACCCACCAATGTGGTACAAAGACTGGACACCACCAATGTGGTACAAAGACTGGACACCACCAATGTGGTACAAAGACTGGACACCACCAATGTGGTACAAAGACTGAACACCACCAATGTGGTACAAAGACTGAACACCACCAATGTGGTACAAAGACTGGACACCACCAATGTGGTACAAAGACTGAACACCACCAATGTTCAATATGAAACTCGCGAAGCACAAAACTAGAAATATTGTTGAGGTTTCCAACAAAACTTGTGCCTGAATTACGAGGACAAAGCTACAAGGAGAGGTTAAGGGAACTTAACCCTCACAATCCTGAGGCCAGGAGGAACACGGGGGACATGGTTAGGACATACACAGCCCGTCCTCCAAACAAAGATCCAAAAGTGATTCCATGCACCCGCCAAACCCCCTGTTTATGAATGAAAAGCGGTTTACACACGACTCTCAACTGCTGACGTTCGAACATATCCGGAACAAGTGCTTCACTGACGAATTTTGTTCGAACCACAACGCTATAAATGCTTCACCCACGTACTACAAATACAAATAATCGCTAACTGAACCTAAACACCTAACCTATCCTATGCCTATATATACACAATAGTCAAATATATAATATTAATTTATACTTGAGAAAATTCCCGTTTTGAATGAACAGTATGTTAAAATTTATGAATGCGTCTGTGGGGTCGACCGCTGGATGTAATGGACTTGAGTCGAGGACGGGTTGGACATACAGGATACTGAAGGGATAAGACAAGGCCGATGAGGACAGCGTCTTTAAAGTGAGAGAAAATAGGATAAGATTTAAATTTAAATTTTTAAATTTTGCCCCGAGGGGCGAGTTTATTGGGCAGCGCCACTCATTTTGTGTGTGGACATACCGCCATAGCAGCATGTACAACACTCCCCAATAGGAAGAAAACCCACTGGGTTGTTCATCCTATCATTTGTACCCAGACACAGCTGGGACTTGCTTAACTGTCTCAAGGGAACAGCTCAGTAGGACTAGAGTCAAAGAAATGTAAACATTGTCAACAAGTGGAATGCCCTGGAAGCAATAGTTGTGGAAGCCACCTCCACCCACATCATGCCAGACACCACCAAGAACTGGAACGTCGTTGATACCTGCTTGATGGGGTTCTGGGAGTTCTTGTACTCCCCAAGCCCAGGCTTGACTTGTGAGCTTGGAGCGGCCCGCAGGCCCACATACCCACCACAGCCCGGTTGGTCCGGAACTTCTTTTAGAAAACAGTCTAGTTTTCTCTTGAAGATGTCCATGGTTGTTCCGTCAATATTTCATATGCTCGCTGGGAGGACGTTGAACAACCGTGGACCTCTGATGTTTATACTGTGTTCTCCGATTATGCCTATGGCACCTCTGCTCTTCACTGGTTCTATTCTACATTTTCTTCCATATCGTTCACTCCAGTACGTTGTTATTTTACTGTGTAAATTTGGGACCTGGCCCTCCAGTATTTTTCATGTGTATATTATTTGATCTCTCTCTCGTCGTCTTTCTGGTGAGTACATTTGGAGAGCTTTGAGACGATCCCAATAGTATTCTTTCGAGGTGTTTGTCGAGTTCTCTCTTGAACACTGAGAGGCCGAGGAAAAATAGATTGGTTAGAAAGGCGGGGTCCAAGAGCTAATAGCTCGACTTTGCAAGCACAAATAGCAAACACAAATAGTAAATACACACACACACACATACCAAAGAGCCAGAGCTCAACCCTCGCAAGCACAACTAGGTAAGTACACACTTAAGGAACAGGTTATGGAAGCAAATACTATTCATAATTTTAAAGCTAGGTATGATAGGGAAATAGGACCGAAGTCATTGCTGTAAACATCCGATGCTCGAAAGGCGGGATCCCAGAGTCAATGCTCGATCCTGCAGACACAAATAGATAAGCACAAATAGGTGAGTACACACACACACACACACAACCTTTGTGAGTACACACACACACACACACAACCTTTGTGAGTACACACACACCCTGTGAGTACACACACAACCTTTGTGAGTACACACACACATACCCTGATCTTCTCCAGGATGCAACCCCACAACAGTTTCCTAACACTAGTACCTATTTACTACTATGTGAGCACAGGAATTTGGTGAAAGGAAACATGCCTAACCATTGATTGTTGCCGCCGGAGGCGGCTTGTTTATTGTGCACCCCATACCCATCCTGTGAGCGGTAGCGCAAAAAGCATTACATAGGGCACAAAAGGTCTTTATCAGACCTCATCTTAGATTATTACATAAACAATTTCATCTATCCTTCACACCTTATAGTTACAATGTCAGCTAGTTACAGAGAATGTTCCATTTCAAAAGCCATATATTTACAGTAAGTCATTATATATTAATGGTAAGTCTTATCGCTAATACTTAATAGTTCGACCAATGGAGATATTACAGTCATAGGGGAGCTTCTGTTTATTATTAGTCTTCACAATACACTACTTGTTTCTTCATCTCATATGTCGTTTATCTACTGGAAGCGAAATATGGATACAGTGCAAGGATTTCAGGTATTTTATCCATGGTAATAAGATAGGTTGCCATATACAGCGTGAGCGGAGATTTATCTCTAAATGACTCAATTTTACTACAATCCAAGATATAGTGTTCGAGTGTGTGTCCCTGTCTTTGTCCACACACTTTACACTTTACTTCATTTAGATCCCTATACAAGCCGAACTGCCAGAGATACTTGTAGCCAAGTCTTATACGAGCTATGACAACATCTGTTAGTCTACTGACTTTGTTACTTGCCCCATACACATGTTTTACTTCACACATTTCATTGTGATGAACAATGGACCTGCTAGTTCCAGTTTGCACCGTTCTACTTTCTTCAAATCCATCCAGGAGTTCTCGTCTAATGACACTTTTAAGGGACCTATTTGATAACTCAAGATTCCGTTCAATACTGTCTTTATTTACTGCAGCCTTAGCAAGGGCGTCAACTTTGTCATGTTCCTGCAGGCCAATGTGAGAAGGAATCCACAACATTTTTATATTTACCCTCTTGCTAAGTATGCTTATATATCTACTTGCTATAGCTTCCAAGACAAGCCCGTTATTACTTGACTGCAAACTGTTTATTGCTAGTAGTGAGGAAAGGGAGTCGGAAATAATTAAGCTGTCTACTTCAGTGTTGTCAATAATTTCGAGTGCTACCTGTATTGCTACCAACTCAGCTTGCATTGTGGACGCCCAGTTACTAATTCGGATATTCCTTTGAATTGTGCTGCCATCGGGCTGATGAGCAATAACAACACTTCCTGCCCTCCCTGTAGCTGTATTGAGTGATCCGTCAGTGTATATGGTCTGTGCTATGTTGTTTTCAGCTTGTATATTGTGAATGTGTTCTATGGTGCTTAATTTAGCAGCAAGCTGAGCATGGGGGTTCTTTGTGATTAGTTTCTTGGTGGGGTATGCAGGGGTCAGGATGTCAAAAGGTACTATCTGCCAGGGTGGAAGGAAGTGCTGTACTCTTTCATCTATGTATACACATCGTGCAGTCCCATCATTTTAATATGAGTGGCTGTTCTCTGAATCCATTTAGACTCGCTGGTTCCATTTCGTACGTGTTCTAACAGACCATTTCTGTCCCATCCGGGAATCGAACCCGGGGATCCCCAGGGTTCGAGACAGGGTTGCCAGATTCAAATTGCTAAAAGTAGCGAGCTGATGGTCTAAAAGTAGCGAATTTGTAATAAGAGTAGCCCAATTTTTTGTTTAGTGACTGATACGGGTTTCAAAGTAATCTATTATGATATATAGAGTACATTAAACGATTTTAATTGCTTTATTAACATTATCTCTGCATATATATATATTTAACCAATATGATAATAGGATAACTTACCAATATTTACTGTTTGAAGCTTAATGGGTGTGAAGTCCTTCCACGTCTTTACAGTTGAAGATTACCAAGATCTTGATCTGCATCCACAACCTCGTTCTTGTATATTGCAGACTCATATTTAAGCATTGACATGAGTGGTTCAAATGACGAGCAACAAGTTACATTTTCTTCAAGATATGTTTTGATACTCAAGACTGATGTCAAAAGCTCAAGTCCCATTCCCATTCAAGATTCCTCAGTTTAGTTTTCACAGACGTTACTCTCGAAAATATCCGTTCAACCAGGGCATTACTGATCGGCAAGCTGTATATTTTCAACACAAACTCAGCGAGGTCAATCAGTATGGGATCGCCAGCAGTGTTCTTGACAGTTATTGTCATGGTCTAAAATGACGATTCAGATGTCGGAATTTGTCCCTCATAAATGTTGGACTAGTCAATGGTTAACAGTAGGCGCCACTGACTTTCAATTTCACTAAGCTTAGATTGGTCAGCTAATACTAGCGGAAGTTCCGAAAATGGTGGCCATGTAAGCTAAGGCATATGATAGGTAACAGATTTTTCACCTTTTTTTATAGTTTCAACATTACTTAGAATACGAGAAAGAAGCTATTTGCAAGCTTTCATTAAAAAATTATCGCATCTTTGACCAGACCACACACTAGAAATTGAAGGGACGACGACGTTTCGGTCCGTCCTGGACC